CTGGCTCTGGGGCTGGCTTACCACACCTGGGATAACTGGGGATGGGGCTGGGACTGTTTAGGGACCCTTGTCATTGGTTATACCAGGAACCCTTCTCTGAAGCAATAGCTCTCCTCTTACATGACTTTAGGCTTTGCCCTCTCAGAAGCCAAGGGCTTTTTCCTAATGGTGGTCTTTCTCATCCTCTTTGCCATGTTAAGCAGCCATCTCCAACACCACCTCCCATAGTTCTCTCACCCATGTCTCATCTGCCCTTTTCGTCCTTTCTCCTGTACCCAGGAAGTCTGGGGGAAGTGCTTGGCTCAGGATTTGACAGAGAAAAGACAAATATTGTATTAATAGGAAAAATTCCGCTTAATTGCTGACAATACCAGACCTAAGACTGTGCCTTTACCAGCCCTAAATGGGCTTCCTAATACTTTCCCATAGAATAAACCCACAGAAGACTAGGATAAGCAAGAAGAGGGAGAGAGAGAGAGAGAGAGAGAGAGAGAGAGAGAGAGAGAGAGAGAGAGAGAGAGAGAGAGAGAAGAAGAAGAAGAAGGAGGAGGAGGAGGAGGAGGAGGAGGAATAAGCAGGGAGAAGAAAAGGAAGACAAAGAGTAGTAGGAATGGAAGGATAAGGCAGGGTGGGAATGATATTGAGTAAGGAGGAGATGGCGACGCCAAGAGGCAAAGGTCAATTCACATTGTGGTAATGGTAACACCCTGTACCCAGTAACCAAAAACAGCAGATCACAATATGTAGTAAGGCAGCCAGAAGTGAGATCAGCTAACAGCTCAGACCAACAGATTCACATGATGATTCCTGTCTGTGATGGGCCAGATTAAAGTTCTGCAAACATCTACTGCCCTCAACCCCTACCTTCCCAATATACATCCCCTGTCCGTCCCCTCCCATGTTGAGCTTGACCCTGGAAGCTGGAAAAATTAATTACATATTTACTATATAAGATAACGTTCATATGTCACAAGAATTGGGTCCAAGATGTCTTGGACATGCAACACTCAGCCAAGTCATTGAGAATCCACAACCAGCAGATCTTGAGGGGTTTTCCCCTTTGTTGTGTGTGTGTGTGTGTGTGTGTGTGTGTGTGTGTGTGTGTTTCTCTACATGTCTCTGTCTCTCTACATCTCTCTCTCCCCTCTCTCTGTTTCTCTGTGTCTCTATCTCTCTCTATGCCTCTATGTCTGTGTGTGTGTGTGTGTGTGTGTGTGTGTGTGTGTGTGTGTGCGCGCAGTGTGTGTGTAGGGCAGTATTTGACATCAGGTGTGTTCTTCAATCATTCTCCACCTTAATTTTTGGAGTAAGGGCTCTCCTTGAACCTGAAACTTACCATTCGGCTAGACTGGCTGGCAAGTGAACCCCAGGGATCCTCTGTCTCCCCTCCCCCAGTGCTGATAATACAGGCACACACCACTGACCTTGCTTTCTGCATGGGTGCTGAGATTCAAACTCAGGTTCCCATGCTTTTGTGCAAAGCACTTTATCAACTGGGCCATCTCCTCAGCCCCACAAATGCCTGGGTTTTCAGGTGGTTTATCATGCAGGATTATTATAGTGATCGTTGACCAATGCACTGCCCATTTTCTGAACTGTTCCCCTTGATATTCTGAGCCCCTCTGTAATCTCCCAGCAAAGTTCTCTTGTGCTTAGATGTACTAGAGTCAGTTTCTATTTTTATAATCCAAATAACCTATCTGCTAACTACTAACCTTACTTTGACAAACTCAAGCAGTGGAGTATCAAATGATAATGTTGAGAATATAAATGCAAACAGAATGTTTTTCTCAGTAATTTTATCGTAATGACCTGTTAGGAGAAAATTGACAAAATAGTGAAGTCAATAGAGGTAGAAAAATTTGGATGTACTCTGTATGGTTAGGACCTATTTTCCGACCAAGAAAAAAAAAACCTAAATCAAAACCCTAACCTTCAGGTAGAGGAGACAAGTAATTAAGACATGTTTTAACCAAAAATCAGTTGCTGAAATGATCACAATAGTGTATCCCGTCCCGGGGAGGCAGTGGCAGGAACTCTGACAAGATGATTGAATCAAATTGGTATTTTTTTAACTCTATTTTAACTCATAGTCATTTCTATCCAGAAGAGATTCCACGGGTCATAGAAGTGGCAATGAATTAATGTCATAAAGAAGGTGTAGAGACAGCAGGAAATTGCAGACCATTACTTAAGTCCCATGATTCTTTGCCCTCATTTTACATCTTTAAACAAAGTAAGGGAAGACAGTAGATGGAAAGTAACTTAAAATGTGCTGCTTTGTAAAGGCCAGCCAGCAGAGCCTCGGGACATTTATTTGAAGTCAGAACATTAGCGCCAGGGTGAATAAAGGGGATGTAATAGGTTTACATTTTTACAAAGGGCCCTGACAGATCTATATCAAAGGAAGAATGTCCAAGGCGCAGAGTGATGGGATAATAGGAAGTAAAATTAAAACTTGGCTCCCAGGGAGACAGAAAGTAATGATAACTTGGAGCACCTCCAAGGTGATGTGGGAAAAATGTGTGGGCTTGGCAGTGTGGGGGAGCCCAGAAACCTCTACTATTGGGTGGGTATCAGCCAAAGAGGATCCCCCAGCAGGACTCCTACATCTGCCTTCTTGGAAACAAGCGAAGACTGACCTGAGACATCTCACAAGAAGAATCACAGCTTTCTCCCTTAACTAATTGCTTACACTTGAAACTTGGAAGGAAATCTGGAAACTGGAAGGGATGGCTGGTAAATTAACTTGAAGATGGAGATGACGCCCCTCCTCTACAAAAACATAAGACGTTTTTAATAAAATATGGCCAATAAAGTCAATGCACAGCTGAGTTTAAAATATAGAAATAGGCGTCCAGGTGCTCAAAACCAAAAGGATTTCAAAGAGGCAAATGTGAGGGAGCCCTGTGGTTATTCAACAAAGTGTGCTTCTGGACAGGGGCCCAGGTACAGGGCTAGAGATGCAGTGAGGGCCTCCAGAGGTGAGATGCTAGAACAGAATCTCCTGGGAAGACACAAGCTCATATATATATATATATATATATATATATATATATATATATATATATATATAGTGTCTACTGAAAGTTAATCTCTAACTGTAACCTGGTACTCATTGCCAATCTCTCCCCTTTCGTTTTCTTTCCTCAGCCACTAGTAACTACTACTCCGCCTATGAGTGACATCATGTAGTATCTGTCTTTCTGTGCCTGGTTTACTTTGCTTAACACAATGAATAATTCAGTTATTCTGTTGCACGGCTAGATGAATGCAGTTAATGGCGACAATGGGTTTTGTGTTTCAAGGTATCTAAACACCAAAGCTTTGAAAATTCTTATCACAAATCAGTGACTGATGTTTAAGACGATGGATGTTTAATTGCCCTAATTTGATCGTTACACAATGTATACCAGAATTGCAATATCATGGTGTACTCCCTAAATACACACAATTGTATGTCAGTAAATGAAAAAAGAGAAAAACTGAGTGATCTGCTAAGTGTCTACCACTTGGTCACCTGGTCAGATAAACTAAAATGCTTCTTCTGCAAATCTTCTGTACAGTTTGAACAGTTCCCCTTTTGGTGGGGAGGAGATCATGTTCTGATAAACCCACATACTCCTGCTTCCACCAAGTGCTAAACAGACCAAAAGTAAATTATGCTAGCTCCTAAACCTACCCTCGCCTGGGTACTTTTAATTATAACTCTGGAATTTAATTAGATATTAAGGTACAATTATAACATGAGCATGTAAAGAGAAGGTCTTATTGTTTCTATAGAAACAATGAAAGTTTCGATAAAGGTGTGCTGCTAAAAATAGTTATCAAATTAGCTATGAATTACAAAGCATACAGGGTTTGGAGATGCTAAAAACTTAGAACTCTGCCATCAGATTGTTTAACAAATAGCTACATAGTTCTCTTCACTGGAGTTCCTTTAAAGAAGTTTCAAATCATTTTTAATAAATCAACGAGGACCAAATCCATGCTATTCAAATGCACATGGATATGAAGCCATCCACAGGAGCATGGTCAACCTCTTCAGGGCCATACCCTTGAGGAAAACTGGATCTCCTTCTCCCTGCATCTATCATCTGCCAATGGTTCTTTATCTGGGAGGGGGATTATTGCTCCTGAGCATCTTCCTCCTTCTTACCAGAAGGTTGACTGACGGTCTTGACCTTGTACAGGTCTTGTGCAGCCAACATAGCTGCTGTGAGTGCTTGAGTGTAACAGCCCTGTGGATGTCTGGGAGACACTGTTTTAAAGCAGTCCTTCAGATGTGTGTCTTATTAGCTCCTCACATCAACGCATAATGAAAACCATTCTCAAGAAGTGCACTTTGAAAATGCTTGTGGTTGAATAATCCTTGAGTAGGAGTGGCAAGACTGCACTATACCGAAGCAGACTCCAGAAATGTAGAAGTCATTCTTACATTTTTTTAAGCCTCTTTTAAAACTCCATAAAATAAGGGGAGTAGACATGACCGTTCCTAACCATGCTTCCAGCTGGTATTTTCCACAGTTAGTCTCCTCCTGCAAGAACAGAAAGCTATAAGAATTGGGGTTAGACTGGGTGAGGAATCTGGTTCCCAGGGAAGGGACTTCCCGGGAGCTGCTGGTAGACAAAGTACTGAAGAACGCAGAGCATTCACTTGGGAATAAAAGATATCCAAGTAAATTAAAGAACTAACTTGAACCCACTAATCCAGGACACACAGTGTTAAGATTGAAAACTTAGCCTGGTCTCCAGCATTAACTAAAGTATTTTGTCTTTCCTCCGCTACAATCGTGCCAATTAAGAACAGAGTGTCAGCTGAGAGAGCCACATAATGGAAAATGCTGACAGGTTCTTAATGCTGAGAGCAAGAGGAGTGCTGCTTTAATAAGGTGCCTGGAAGCAGAGGATTTTTTTTTTTTTAAGAATGAGGAAAAAAGAAAATTTGGAAACAGAGACGGAGGAGCTGTAGGCAGGGGCAAGAAAGCAGCCATTCACGTCCTGGACCTGACAAAAAGCAGAATCATTCACACTGGAAGCCAGGCCTTTTCTTCTCTCTCTCCATCCTTCCCTGGCTCGTGGTAAGTCCTTTCCTAGGCAAACATTACCCTGCTCTCCACGCCACTGACTAAGACAGGGAGTCTATCCATGGAGGAAATGGCCATTAGGAAAGGGCATGTTAAGAATAAAGTCAGCCTTGATGCAGTGCCTTCCAACACTTCTTGAGTATTCAGTTTAGGTAAGGCCCGGCAGAGTGAGAGGGATAGCTCAGGCTAAACATCAGAGCCAAAGACACTGTGCCAGGCCATTAGATGAGGTGGTCACCGTGAGGTAAACAAAGGCTCCTCTCTCGCCCAACTTTGAGGACTTGTCTTTTACTTTTTACTACATTTTTAAACAGAAGAAAGATACAGAGAGTCCAAAAAGAAGCCTCCTTGAAGTCGTCACTCTGTTCAATCGTTCCCAACATTGGACACATATCTTGTTTGACTCACAAACTTCTCCATTGCCTTTTCTTCCATTCGATGATTTTTTTTTTTTTCGAGACAGGGTTTCTCTGCATAGCTTTGCACCTTTCCTGGAGCTCACTTGGTAGCCCAGGCTGGCCTCGAACTCACAGAGATCCTCCTGGCTCTGCCTCCCGAGTGCTGGGATTAAAGGCATGCGCCACCACTGCCCGGCTTTCGATGATTTTTTAAAGCAAACCTAGACAGAAAAATCACTTCCGCCATACATATTTTGGTACTTATCTCTAAGAGATCCCTGTGTTTCTTAGTATAACTTCAATATTATTAACATGCCTCCAAAATAATAATTCTGTAAACTCTAAAATATTCGCTTGGTGTTCAAATATCTTTGAGCCACATCATAGGATACTGATGGCCAAACAGTAGGCAGGGGGCCACCATACTCTTCCCTCAGCATGCTCCCTCCATCCTCATCCTGTGCCCTGAGCTGCCTTCTCTCCTTTGAGGACCTTGCAAATGATGCTTAGTTACTACAGCCAAGTTTGGCCTGCTAGAATTTCAGTTTAAAAAAATAGGGTAATGGAGTCTATATGGAGTCTATGATAGCAGAAGAAGAGGGAGAACCTGGACCAGCAAGATGGAGATAAGGGGATAGGGGGATAAGGCACAGGGGTAACAAGAAAGGACGTATGAACATGCCATAATGAAGTCTATTGTTTCATATGATCACAAAAGAGCAATTCAAAAATACACAGAAATTTTTCAAGGGAAGACTCTGTATTAAATTTCTCATTATAGAAAACACCAAGGCCAGACTTTATCATCCCAGAAGCCCAGTGTGAAGCTGGTCCACTCAGAAAGATCACACAGGACAGCTTGAAATGCCTAGAGGTCCCCAGGATGGTAAATTTTCCACAAACTGAAGATGCCAAATGACTCTTGGGGAAAAAAATAAATACAGATATATATATATATATATATATATATGTATATATATATATATATATATAGAGAGAGAGAGAGAGAGAGAGAGAGAGAGACCAAATGTCTAACTAAAACTTTACTTGTGTGTTTTGGGTGGGCAGTTGTGTTTTCTTTTTTTCTTTTTTTCTTTTTTTTATGGGTAAAGTAAAAGCCACAATGTCTCCTGCTGGCCCCTGGCAGCTGTACCCAAAAGAGTCGCTAGAGAGAGAATAAGTAACCATGCACCTGATCCCTCTGACAAGTGGTGCGACCCCATCCTGTTCTTAAATCTATAGCGGGAGACCAGTTGTGACACTGGGAACAACGCAAGACATTTCAGAGGCTGCCTTGAGGTCACTTGTCCGAGGAGCCAGGCATGTAGAGAGGTGTGACAGATTTCCACCAGGTCTCACAGCAAGCCAGAGGCCACCCCTGAGGTGGGATGGCAGCAATCCAGCATCTGATGCACTGAGGGCCTGGTGGCGAGGTCCCTGGTCTAAGCAAAGAAGCAATAGAAGGATTTCTGTGTAGAGGTTCGTCGCTGCCGCGTGATAAGGAAGAACACCCCCATTTTGTGTTCAGCCAAGCACAAACCGTGCTGAGGGGGTGAGGAAGGTGAACAGCCACAGTATCTGTTATTTCTTGTCAGCACCATACCTAGTCTCAGTTTTCCTAGCAATGCTTCATGTTCTGCCTCACACGGCATTTCCTGGATGGCAGAGTGGGACAGAAATAAAAAGCTTCAATCCCAGTAACCAGCCTTAAAAGTGACTTTATTAAAGATCACACAATATTTGGGTTGATTAGATTTCTGAGTACCTGATTCAATGCAGTCACTTCAAAGGTGAAATAAAGTATTTAATGTCACTGGAGGGCCTGGAGAAAAAAAGGGATTTTTCCCCCTCAAATCTTGATCTATTTCAAAAAAAATAATTCTGTTTAGGCTGAGACTAAAACTGTTAGTTTTCAGTTATAAATTTCTTTGCAAAATAGTTTCATCTTTTTATGTCTGCATTTCTCTCTCTCTCTCTCTCTCTCTCTCTCTCTCTCTCTCTCTCTGACATACACACACACACACACACACACACACACACACACACACACACACCATACTCAATATTTGGGATTTTTTTAAATTATATAAATGAACACAAATTAAATTACTTATATATATATATTAAACTTTGTATTAGATGGTAATATATAAGTGTTAATGAGTAAATAAGGGAAACTTGTATTTATTTACTGTTTTCACACTTCAAAATTTTAATAACATTATATTTACTGGTAGATGTTTTGTATTTTTCTGTTTCTATATATATATGTGTGTGTGCTCAGCAGGTGTTTGCTTCATACACTGAAGAGAACAAAACCAGGTGTTTACAAAGCTAACAGTCCCTGCCATAGTCCACAAACACAAAGACTGCCTCTTTGCACTGGATTGCCGATCATTTAACCCAGCCTCCTCCCTCACACCAGACAGCTGGGGAATGTGAGAACAGGCAAGCCACACCAGTGGGATCTATGCTTAACTCTCATCCAAGCCAAAAGGTTGGGACGTATCTGTGCTGACTGCTTAAAACACAGTCACGAACCTGTCTACCATCAACATGGAGTGGAGCCTTAAAGATGAAATTGGATCCCTAGGGATTGGGAAAGATAAAGGGAGAAGCTGGTTTAAAATGGCAGAAGAAAGGAAAAGGGACACCAAGGAGAGGGTCCTCGTCTCCCATCTAAGCTGAAACTCATTCTCAAACAAAACAAGCCTATCTTTGGGTGTCTATGACTACGCTAAGACCTATCTGACCTCTCTTCCTGTGTCAGCTTCCCTCTGCAAAGGATCTTATCCTAAGAAATTCCAAGAGTCCCCACTCACTCTTAGCCTGCTGGTGTCTCTCAAGTCTCCCGTATGTCTTTGTGCCTCATTCCCTTCTTGGTGATGGTTTGCCACATTCTTGAGACTGAATGCCATTCAACTCTATTCCTGTTGAATACATCTCAAATCCTATAGTGCACTGCATGAAAACGCTTAGCTTTTTCTTATCATTGAGAATTGAACAAGAGAAATATTTATCCTGTTCTTGAGTGACTCCTACAGCTCCATGTGGAAGTATGTTATATAAAGCCACCATTTTTTTTTAAGATTTATTTATTTTATGTGTATGGGTGCCTTGCCTACATGTGTGCATGTGCACCACATACATGCCTGGTTCCCACAGAAGTCAGAAGAGGGTATAGGATACCCTAGAACTGGAGAAAGGGATGGTTGTGAGCCACCATGTGGGTGCTGGGACCTGAACCTAGGACCTCTGGAAGAGCAGCCAATGCTCTTAGCCCCTGAGCCATCTCTCCAGCCCACCATTTCTTTACTATAACTATGATTTCCTTTCCTCAAGGGAAAAAAAATCCCATGTTACCATATAGAATCTGAGAGAAAATGAGAAAGAAGGAAGTTAGCTGCCGACTTCACATTCAGTGTGCTTTGTGACAGAAAGAATTGGTCAGCGTGCTACAAGGTTCTCAAGAAACTCAGTCCAGTAAAAAAAATATGGACATAGATACAGAGCTACACCTTCACTCTGTGAAGGTACATGAAAGGCTGTACAGGAGAATGATATTCAGCCAAGCCATCAGGCGTGAGTAGGAACTGAACAACCACACATGCGAGGCTTCAGTAATGAAGTCACGTGGTGTGGAGAGCAGCGTGCCCAGTATCATGGAAAGCAGCAACAGCCCAGGGAAAAGGGCTGCAGACTTACGTCCCAAAGTCGCAGAGCAAAGAAACAACGATAGACCTATGCCAAAACTACTTCTTACCTACTGAGGAACACACTCTCTTATGCTCCTTTTCCTATATTTTCCCATTAAAAAGCCTTTGATCTTTGTAGCCCTCTCACTGAACTGAACAAACTCACTGCCTTCATCACCATCTCCTCTTGGACCAACTATCCCTCCTGTATGGATGGATTTAAATTCCACATCCACATCCTTGGTAGAGAGGGGGAAAGAGATGGGGGTCTATTGTTTGCTATTTTTCCCCTCAATTTGCTGGAGATGAGATTGGAAGAAACTGTTATTGATGCCTCTTCTCTATATTCTGCTCCTAACAATTGCGGCTCAAACCCGGCCGCTGGAGAGCGAGGACTGGAATAGACAAGTATCCAGTTACGTGGATGTTTATGTCGGTTCAATAGCTGATATTCTCCTCTTTTTCTGAAATAATAGCATTTTTGGGCCAAAATCAATAAGCTTTTGTGGAGGGGAGAAAGCTGAGCACATTACAGAGTTAGGTACTAATTGGAAGGGGCAAAGCAGTGTCGACAGCCAAGTTCTCAGAAAACAGTGTCGCCCTTGTAAGGTCCAATTACTGCAGCTTTCCTGAAGTGTGAGTTCTGTCTGCGTGCTGTAAGCATGAGAATATTTAGCTCAGAGTTAGAGGAGATTTTTAAGTTATTTTGTATGAATTTAATAATGTCCTACTTGGCCCTAATCTCTATTTGAGCCTCTCTTGGAGGAGGGAAGGCGGGAGGGAGAGAGTAAATCTTGGAAGACTGTGGACGATGCCATCACATGTCACTTTGGACCTGCAGCATCTTAATATATCCACAACTTATTTAACCTTAGGTAAGGTGGCATTCCACCTTACACTTGTTTTAAACAAACACCACTTATGCAGAGAGCATTATCACTTAACGAACGGGGGGGAAAAAAAAACTATCCACATCATAATGAAAATAATTTTCATCAAGGAAACTAAGCAGCTTTGAGAAAAGGTTAATGGGATATGATGTATTGGCTAAATCTAAGGAAAGATTTTAAGGGATGTTCATTTTAGGTTAGCAAAGAGCTACTAAACATTTCTTATAATAAAGGGTTCAAGGATCAGAAACAGCAGTAGTAAAAAGCTTAAAAACAAGAAAGTCTTTATCCACCATAAAAATTGTTGGAAACAGACGCACCCTCCCTGGTGTAACCAGCTCGGCTCAGCACATTTCTATTTTATCTCTGTATGTGCCTCAAACAGAACCTGAACATAAGGGATTTCTCAAATCCTCTTTTTTCCTGGTAATTTGCTTTTGTACAAAACACCTCTTTGACTGCCCAAACACAAAATCACAATGGTAGCTGTAGAAGACACTGGTCCCCTCAACATGCTTTTTCTCTGATGTAGCATGGACACAGCAAACTGTCCAGCCAGCTCCAGAGGGACACTGACGCCTGCCAACAAGCCTGAAATAGGCCAGAAACTGCTACCATCACGGAACAAAGCAATCATTCAGCACGGAAGCCGTGGAAAATACAGCTTTTGAAATGTAGAAAGCAGTGGACTTAATCCTGACTGATCCCTGTACAAGCAGGCAGCTCTGGGGCCTCAGAACAGTCCACCATACAAGATCCTGAGGCAGGGATCCCTGCAGCTAAGAGATGGCTTGAAATTGTAAGGTCGGGAATGGATGTCCTCTCCCTTGCTTCCTAACAGTCTGGACCTCCCTTGTGTGAAAAAAATGACTGAAAATAAAACTCCATAGACATAGCATCAAAGCCCTCAAGTTACAGATGAGGAAACTCAGTCCCAGAGAGAGACCAGGAGGCTTATCCTCAAATCCCCAACCAACAAGAACTAACTCCCTGTTCATCCAACTCTCTTTAATTGGATATTGAGAGCACAGTGGTGGAGAATACCTCATTTGGAACCAGCGAGATGAGTTAAGCAGGTAAATTCCCTTGCCACCAAACTGACAGCTTCAGTTCCAACCCTAGGACCCACACGGTTGAAGGAGAAAATTGACTCCCATAAGTTGTCCTCTGTTCTCCACACAATCACATGGCACACAGAGACATACACAATAAGCAAATACATAAATTAAAGAGTTTTTAAAAGATACCTCGTTTACTCATTCAGTAAGTATTTATTGTCTATATATGTAAAAATTTCTATCTCCTGAGGGGAAAAGGAGACATGTTACAACAAACAGCATCTTCAAACCTCTAGAATAAAACACTGAAGATTTTCGTTGTGAACACAGTATATAGCCACTGACTGAAAGTTTGGAAAACACTAAAGAGTTGAGGAGAGAAAACAGTCACTAGCCAAGCAAACAAAAGCACTTTGGCACCTGGAGAATTTCTTACCAAACATTTTTCTTACCTCTACGTTTTTGTCGTTCTTCGTTTCTCTCCTGTCAAGCAGGTGTGGTTATCATCTATGCACAATTATGTGTCCTACCTTGTAGCACATGTTTTGCTTGTGTTAAAGAATCTTTGTGCTCATTGTTTTTAACAATTGCAAAATATTCCACGGAGTAGCTACAATCATCTAGCTATTGTTTCCACTTGGAGGAGAGGGGTATTCATTCGCCATGAGCATCTTTCCAAACACATTTCCATACTTCGAAATCCTTCCTTGGGAAACCCATTAGTGCTTGACTGACACCTCACTTTCTTTGAAGGGATTTGAGGTAGCTGTTTTCTAAATTTCCCTGAACTGTGATGCAAGGCAGAGCTTCGATTCTTCTGGAAACACCACTTTGTGGTTTTTACTGTCACTAAGGATCTGAGAATTGCACCGTTACAAGGTCACTGTAGTCCGCTAGCCTGACCACTGCCTCTTCTTGCTCAATTTCCTTAACCACTCACTGATTGGGCTGGAGTGGTTTGACCTGCTCGTGAATTACCTGTTGTTAGAGCAGCAGAGAGGGCCTGCCTTTTACAGCTGCTGATTAAAATATTGGGCACCCAGTGAACAGCTGAGGTATGCTTACACGTTTAGAGTGTTTGACACGGCTATGGTTTGCTCCCTTCCAAACTCCATTTGATGTTGAACTTACATCTTAATGTGGTGATAATAAGAGGCATGGCTTCTCAGGGGGCTGCTGGGCCACAGAGCTCCCCACTTGTGCCTGAGATTAAAACCCTCTAAACCAGTGGATCTCAGCCTTCCTGCATTCCTCATGGTGACCTCCAACCATAACATTATTTTCATTGCTATTCCATAGCTGTAATTTTGCCACGGTTACGAATCATAATGTAAATATCTGTGTTTTCTGATGGTCTTAAGTGACCCATGTGAAAGGGTCATTCGGCCCCAAAGGGGTAGTGACCCACCGTTTGAGAACCACAACCTTAAAAAGCAGCTCCAACCATTTGGCCTCCCCACTCATCTGTTCTTCAGCCATCTGAGGACACAGAACTCCTGTCCCTGGGAGGATACACAAACAAGGAGCCATCACAGAAGCAAAGCAAGTTGCCCTTGTCTTGATTTTAGACTTCCCAGCCTTTATAACTATGAGAAATATACTTCTATTATTTATAAATTACCCAAACTGCAGTATTATATCATAGCAGCACAGATAAATCAAGTCATTTAT